TTTACTACACTGTGACTAGGAGTGGATTTATTTTTACTTATTCTGCTCAGAATTTTCTGTTGTTTTGAATCTATTGATTCATGCCTTTTGTCATTTCCAGAAAAATATAGACTTTATAGCTTAGAATGTTGCTTTTACCCAATTTTCTCTATTCTCTCTATCTTAATAATTTTTTCTAAAATTATAATTTTTTATCAGATATCTTTAAAATATATATATATATATTTTATTGATTTCAGAGAGAAAGGGAGAGGGAGGGAGAGCTAGAAACATCAATGATGAGAAAGAATCATTGATCGGCTGCCCTCACAAACCCCACAATGGGGATGGAAACTGGAACCTGGGCATGTGCTCTTCACTGGAATTGAACCAAAGATCCTTCAGTCTGCAGGCCAAAGCTCTAACCACTGAGCCAAACCAGCGAGGGCTAAAAATGTAAACTTTTATCAAAGAATAATATACATAGAAACATGCACAAAGTGTAAGTGTTCAGTTTGATGAATGTTTGAACACCCCTGTTTAACCAGCAACCTGACCAAGAAACAGAACAATTCCAGCTCCTTTAGATCACCATGGATCTCTCCCATTAAAGGTAAGCACGTCTTTACTTCAGTCACTATAGATTAGTTTTACCTGTTTTTTGAGCTTAAAAAAATAAAAAAAGAAACCATGCGGTATGGACACTTGTTTCTCTTTCACTCGACATTATGAAATGACCCATACTGTTGTTTGTAGCTATAATTGATTCATTCTTGTTGCAGTGTGGTATTTTATTGTATGAGTTCCACCTAGAACTTTTATTAGAAACAGGTTGGATCACTTTTTTTGTTTTCATTCTTTATATCTCACCTCTCTTTTATATTTTCCATCTTTCTAACTCTTCGTTTCATGCCATGTAAGTTCCTCATACCTTTAGGTTCACTAAACCTCTACTAAGCTACATTGAATTTGCTGCTTAAGTGAACAAGTTAATTTTGAATTTCAATGACAGTGTTTTTCATAATTTAAAAAGCTCTGTTTGGCCCTGTTAAAAATAGTCTTTTCTGCTATGTTTCTATTCATCTTAAACATATGTCCTTAAACTCAGATGACTCTTTTAAATGAAATTTTAGAGGGTCTAACCTTGATATTTGTTGTGTATATTGACTTTTTTCCTTGGTGCAATTTTTTTTTCTCATCAATTTTGTAATTTTGAAGTGTGTGTGTGATTGTTCAGGGAGTTTTTACATTTGGGACAGTAGTGAAGTTTTGTTGGAGGATTTATCATTATGTATGCTTCTGCCTAGAGTCTCAGACTCACATGTATCATAAATTTGGGACTAGCTTTCAGATTAGTTTCTGGGATTGGAGGTTTCTGTATTATAAAGGTAATATATATTTGAATATATCTATATATGTCTATATATATCTACACTAATAAAAGGGAAACATGCAAATTGACCATACCTCTGCTACACCCACATGCCACACCCACCAGCCAATCAGGAGAGAGTATGCAAATTAATCCAACCAAGATGGCGCAGCCACAGAGCTGGAGCAAGCAGGAGTCTTGGGTTGCCCTGGTGATGGAGGAAGCCAAGCTTCCTGTCCGCCCTTGCTGGCCCTGGCCTCCTCACAAGGCTACAAAGTTTCAATTATAGAAGATAAACAAATCCCAGATACTTGTTTCCAGCTGGCCCTGGCCTCTGCTCAAGGAGGCACTGAAAAAAGAAAAAAAAAGGGGGCTGGGAGCTTGGGTCACTGGTAATTGATCAGGCCAGGATGGGATGGCAGTTGTGGGTGACTGGGCTGATGGGGGCGGGGCCGTTGGGGGTAGGCAGACAAGAAGGGGGCCAGTTGGGTGTGAGCAGGCCGTCAGTGGGGGTCAATTGGAGGTGATCAGGACATGGGGGAGGGAGGGCAGTTTAGAGTGAGCAGGCCAGGACGGGGGCAGTTGGGGAGCAGGCTAGTGGAAAGGAAAGGTGGGGGCAAGCAGGTCAGCAGGGGAGCATTTGGGAGTGATCAGGGTGGTGGGGGAGGCATTTGGGGGTGATAAGGCCAGTGGCAGGGGGCAGTTGGGGGCGAGCAGGCTGGCAGGCAGAGTGGTTAGGGGCAATCAGGCAGGCAGGTGAGCGGCTGGAGCCAGCAGTCCCAGATTGTGAGAGATATGTCTGCCTGCTATGGCAGCTTAGGCTCGATCCCTGTAAACTGGCAATAGGACATCCTTCAAGGGGTCCCAGATTGGAGAGGGTGCAGGCTGGGCTGGGGACCACTCTTCCCCCTCCTGCACGGATTTCATCACTGGACCACTAGTGTGTGTGTGTGTGTTTGTGTGTGTGTGTGTGTGTGTGTGTGTGTGTGTGTGTGTGTGTGTGTTTGGCTTGAATAAAGTCCAAGCTGTGGTTCTGAATTCTCACGGGAGATTTTTTTCCTTCTGCTCAGAGTCCAAAATTAAGTCAGACAACAACCTTTGCCTAATAAACTATTTGTGATTCAGAGAATGTTAAAAATAACACAGTCAACAATGTGACTTCCACAGTGGGGCATCTGACTCCATGACATAACAAATGGTCACTGGAATTTTAGGATGAATCTCAGGACTGGGACTTTAATGAATTCTTTTGGAGGAATGGGCTAGGAGAGAATGTGGAAATTAGCAAGGATTGGTAACAGGATATAAGAGAGGCAGAACAACATATGAGCAGGTGAAATGAGTGGGGTAGTCCTAAAGCTAATTGTCTGCACTCTGAGCATTTGTCTCAGTATCACATTTAAACTATCTTTATGCTTAGCTTGAGCTCTTCGCTGGACTGAGGCAGGTTCTTGATGACACAGAACGTTTTCAAAATTCTGAATTATGTAGTAGTGTCCTTTGTCCTTTCTGACTTTCCCCATCCTACTTGCCAGAGCCACTGTCCTTCCCCCTGTCAATCCAATGCCTCTAGGACAAGGCTCTCAACCTCAAATGCCTATGTGGAGTGGTAATGAGGCAGCTAAGTTTAATTAATTAAATGAGATGGAATGGTGACTCAGAGGCATGGCGATCCAAGGGCATATGACTCTCAGTTACAGCTTATTGTTATTAAATGGAAATACACAGTCTGGGCTGGGAATTTGGATTTTTTTCTTTAAAGAAAGAAAATATCTAAAAATGTTGGCAACTCATTCAGTTATAAAAATGTGCTGTGCTAACCAAAATACATCCGTGGGCCGCATATGGCCTGCAGGCCACTGGTTTGCAACTGTTACTCTAAGATGCCTTTCACAAGCTTCTGGGAGACTAAGTTTTCTTATGCCATGGCAGCAACTATTCTCCCTCTGGCTACCTGTCAAGTAATATGTCTTGCTTTTCAGATTACTTGCATTCTTTCTCTTTTTTTTTTTTTTTTTAAAATATATTTTATTGATTTTGTACAGAGAGGAAGGGAGAGAGACAGAGAGCCAGAAACATCGATGAGAGAGAGAGTTATCATCGACCAGCTGCCCCTTGCACACCCCCCACTGGGGATATGCCCGCAACCAAGGTACATGCCCTTGACCGGAATCGAACCCGGGACCTTTCATTCCCCAAGCCAACGCTCTATCCATTGAGCCAAACCGGTCTTGGCAAGATTACTTGCATTCTTAATCCTCCACCAAATACCACCTTTCTTGAGTGGCCACAATTGAACAAATCTTCACTAATGTGGAGAAAGGGGAAAACTCCCCTTTCCCTCCTCTGGTTCTACTTATTTGTTGAATAATCAAGTCGACATGAGAAAGATTGATAAGAGAAAATCATAGTGAATTCTGTGCACACCGGAACCCCTGCAGGAGAGAGTCAGAAACCCTGAATACAGGAGAGGTTCAGACACTGAAAGAGAATGAGGAATATATGACACTCTGAGCCAAGGAGGAGAGGTAAGGAACCTTGGGACTTCAGAGAGTCATTGCAGGGCGATCAGAAGGGAAGATGTTCATTTCAACAGAAGTTAGCTCTTCAATAGAGACAGCTCCTTCCTGGGGCTACCCCTTCTCTCTGGTAATCTCTTATTATGAGCAAGGCCCTAATTAAAATTCTTCTAGGTAGTTAAGGGTGGGCTGGGGGTGGGCAGAAGTTTCTGTTGAGTCCACAGAGACTTCATGGTCTTTAGCTCAAAATCCACATGTCACAAAGACACCTCTTGTGGTGACTGAGCCCCCACACTCCCAGGATGCAGTCCGCTGGACTGAATTACAGGGGGCACTTCCGGCCCTGGAGCTCTTGGAACAGCATCTTGTGCGCATGACTAATGCAGGCAGCCTGGAGCGTCTGTGAGCATGGGCTTGGGAGCCAGATGATAATGCCTCCTGGCTTCCCACTTCTGAGAGGAGTAAGCCTGTCTAAGAGGCCTATCCCTCTAGATAAGGTTATTGGAAATGTACAATCAGGATAACAATTCCTGGCAGCTTTGCTGTGCGGCTGCTTTAATTTCTGATGTGTGCAAAAAGCTTATTTTTATTCAGATTATGGGAAGTCTGCAAAGATGGAAAAGCTCTTAGAAATCGTCCAAGTCAAGCCTCTCCCTGTGTGCATTTTGTAGACAAGGAAGATTTTGGTTCAAGGAAATTGTCCAAGGCCTTGGCTAGCCAAATCGGTAATTCATTTGCAACATTTATTTTTCATGATAGATTTATGGTGGAATCGACTTATAATATCTCATCGCTCATCTGAGAGGCAACATGAAATAATTATTAAAGCAGGACAATTGCTCCAAAATCTATCAGGTTAGAGGATTGGGGGGAAAGACCTGGGTCCCCTCGTTTGTCATCTGTGCAACGGTTGCTTAACCTCTTTAAGCCTCAGTTTGGAAGTATAAACATGGTTTCATCTCTTTAAAGAACTAAGACTAAGCCAAGAAGATAAGTTTCTGACTGGCAGAAAAACTGGTCTCCTCCCTGCGGCTGCCCCTTCTCCAGCTGTTAGAGCGCCCTACGGGGAGGGGTAGGTGGTTGGTGGCCAAGCCAGAGTTGATCAGTTTGCTGTTGCCACTGCTCTTCCTTGTTGCACACTGTCCCTGTCAGAGCCACGCCTGAGTCCTCCAGAGGCTTTCTACAGTTAAGAAAAGGCTGCCCCTCTGGGCAGACACAGCTCAGTGGCCTGAAACCTGGGCTAGATTTCAGCCCCCATTTGCTGCTTTGAGCTGTATGTCCCTCACCCACCTCCACAAGGCGGCTGGGTCAGAGAGGACGCCGATTGCCTGACAGAAGGATGCTGGCGGGATGCAGAGTGAGGTCTGTGCTGGTCTCTGTGGGCCTCTGAGGGCGGGCTGGTCCCGGGGCCCATTGGGCTCACAAGGACACAGCTCTTACAGTTCCGCGATTCCAGCTCATTCACCTGCCATTCTAGGAGGCGGGCGGCACCTGGGGAACACTCGCACGGCCTCCTTCTCCTCCAGGGACAGCCACACACTGTGCCCTCAGATCACGGAGGGTCTGAGTCAGCCCCTTTCATGGACTCCAGCTCCACCTCCCTCCCCTTTTTATATTTTAGGGACCCACCAGAGAGTTAGCCTCCTAAAGAGGACACAGATGACTTCTGGAGCATGCCATGGCTGAGCAAAACATAAAACCGATGCAAGGTAAATTTCCCTCAAAATAGCTTCAAATATGTGAGTATTGTTTTGTATTGTGGCCTTCAATTTGAAGTTTATGCTGTAAATAAGATTGATTGTGGGGAAAAATAAGCTGGGTGTCATAATCTTCAGCTGGAGCCTCCAAGGATCTGGACCTTTCAACAAGCCTTTTTTGCGGGGGGGGGGGGGGGGGGGGGGGGGCGAGATTTGAGAGGGGGTGTACATTGGCTGTGGCTGTCATTTACACGTGAAATTGTGGTGCAGGCTCACCCTCCCAGTCTCCTCTGACATGTGATCTGTGTAAATAGATGCTGAGGTTTAGGGGTCCAGCTTGGGGTCACTGCCTAGAGTTGCTTTACCTGGGGGTTAGCTGCCTTTCCACAGGGCTTTTCCTCATTAGCATTGCTGCTTTTTCCCTCTTCCCAACCCTTCAGCCACTCCTCCCCTTCCCTCCCCCTTTCCAGCTAGCTCCGTTAGAATCCACAGAACCACAGTTAATGATAAACAGGAGGCTCATTTTCCTTTGTTTAGAATTCTAGCAAGACTACCCAATTAAAAACAGCAACAAAACTGCCCAAGCGCAGTTAAATCAAACCAAGGGTTTCGTGGAAACACCAGCCAACGAAATTAATAAATCATTAACTTGAAGGGACCTTGGAGGCCCTTTGCCTGGCTTGCTTTGCCACGTGACAGAAGGTTTGGTGCCTTCTGACGCAGAAGGAAAGTTGGCCATGACCTTCCCTGAGCACAAATTTCCTGGGCTCTGCCAGCGAAGGGTCCAAAGCGGTGCTCTGTCGCCACCTAGTGGTCAGTGCATGTACATCGGCTGCCATGCACATATGGCCTCTAAGATTATGGTGACATCCTCCAGAGAAAATAATGCCCTTGGATATAACCAAAGTGCAGCCAAGAAAATGTGACAGATGCCGAAGCAGACCTATTACAGGACCCTCCCTGCCTCTGACACCGATGCCTTGACAGTGCTGGTGGGGGAAAGAAGTGGAGAGAAAAACTGGAAAACGTGTAAATTATTTGTGAAGTTGGAATTCAATTGCAAAACGCCAGGAAGTGAACCAGAGGAGGGGAGAGACAGGAGGAGCAGGGGCCAGCTCAGAAAGCTCTGCTGCTGTTTTATTTTCGGAAACAGGGAACAGGAAGGGACTTTGGGGGAGATGAAGTCTAGGTTTTTAGAATATTTTGCTATCTGGTTTTCAATGCTTTTTGCCGCTTGATTTGCAGTGGGTCACAGGAATGAGCTAGACCTTAAATCAAAGAAGGCTATGTTTTATTTATTTTACATACAAAATTAGGACAACTCATCGTGTTATTTTAATATTTTGGGCAGCTGGGTGAGTGGAAAGTGAGAGGGGAGAAACTTGCTCGAAGAGTGGTGGGATGCCAGGGACAAACATCTGCTAGGTCTTCCCTGTGAGCAGGCACCTTCCCAACTGTGCTCTGATGGAAGAGAAAACAGCAGCATTGTGACAGTGCGGCAGGAGGAGGGAGTGGGATGAGATGGAAAGGAAGGTGAGCTGAGGCCACAAAACCCCTGCTGGAGCCTCTGATGGAAGCAGAAAAGTAATGAGGCAAGAGCTTTTATACTGGATCCTGGCCAGTGTCTGCTTCCTCCCTTCCCCTGGGGCAGGCACCGCTTGGTGTCAGCAGCCCTGAAGGGCGGGAGCACCTTTTGTAAAGGATAGTCTCTTCATGTAAGTCAAATAAGCTGTTATTTTTTTCTTCATAGAATTATGCTGTTAGAACATAAATTGTGCTGACAGGGATGCCTCAGTCAATGATGGGATACTTTTGAGAAGTGGGTCATTATGCAAACATCACACAAACTCGCCTGGTATTGCCTACTACATACCTGGCTATATGGTTTAGCTCTGTGGTCGGCAAACTGCAGCTTGCAAGCCACATGAGGCTCTTTGGCCCCTTAAGTGTGGCTCTTCCACGAAATGCCACGACCTGGGCGAGTCTATTTTGAAGAAGTGGTGTTAGAAGAAGTTTAAGTTAAAAAAATGTGGCTCTCAAAAGAAATTTCAATCGTTGTACTGTTGATATTTGGCTATGTTGACCAATGAGTTTGCCGACCACTGCTGTAGGCAACTGTAGCAAAATGGTATTTGTGTACCTAAACATAGAAAAGTTGCAGTAAAAATATGATATACTGTACTTTTATAGGACTGGCGTGCTGTAGGTTTACACAGGCATCACCACAAACATGTAAATAACATCATTGTGCTACCATGCTAGGATGTCTATGATGTTAGGTCACTGGGCAATAGGATTTTTTCAGCTCTTTTATGATCTTACTAGAGGCCCAGTGTATGAAATTTGTGCACTGGGGGGAGAGGAGGAGGCGAAGGATTTGTCCCTCAGCCCAGCCTGCACCCTCTCCAATTTGGGACCTCTTGGATATCCCTCTCATAATCTGGAACTACTGGCTCCTAACCACTTGCCTGCCTGCCTGCCTGATTGCCCCTAACTGCTTCTGCCTGCCTGCAGTCCCCTGCCAATCCGGTCACCTAACCATTCCCCTGCCAATCCGGTCACCCCTAACTGCCCTGCCCTGCCCTGCTCTGTTGGCCAGATTGCCCCCAACTCCACTCCTTTGCTGGCCTGTTAGCCCCCAACTGACCCTCCTATGCTGGCCTGATCACCCATAACTGCCCTCCCCTGCTGGCCATCTTGTGGCAGCCATCTTGTGATGACATGAGGGTGTCGCGTGAGGGCACAAGGGCCACCTAGGCTTTTATTAGTATAGATGGGGCCACCATTGAATATGTGGTCCATAGTTAACTGAAACATTGTTATGGGACACATGACTATATTATGTACCTTTGTACCAATGTTCTAGGACTTTAGCAGGCTCTGAATGCCCACCATCCCTCCTTCTGATCCACCCATCCATCCATTCTTCACATACTCAGGTTTGAATCAGACAGTATGCTAAGTATTGAATATTCTTTGGTGCTCAGTGCTCCAGGGAATTCATCCAGCACCAACCACATTTTTCTAGACTCCAGAAAAGCTGTTTCCATCTTCATTGAGGAGATGTCCTATTCTTGTAAAGTGTTGCCTGCTCAGCCAGTTGATGGCCCATGTCACTCATGGAAAGAGCAGATGGCACCTCTCCTTATTTCTCACTGTGTCTATTGCTTACCACCCCTGGGATTTCTCTATTATGGTTGAAGCACAAAAAGCTTCAGGGATTCTTTGGCACTTTTCTGTGTGCACTGACTTTCCCAGCTCAGCCTGAGGTGTCATCCACAACAGGCAAACCAAACTGACAGGAAGTGCCACCAGCTCATGCTGCCACCGCTGCTGTGAAGCTGGCTTCTTAGTGGGTCCCTGGAGGTGACTGTTATAGTAATAAAGATAAATACAATTTGAATAAGTATTAGAGTGTGGAATCGAAGTGTGATATCTGAAAGTATGGAATGGAATGTAAACAAACTGATAAGCACCCTTCAGTGGCCTGTATGTAGGAAATAGATAAAGTGATCTGTACCCCATATGTAAGACTGGATAGCAAGGCTCCTGGGACCTGCTGATAAGACACACTGAAGACACATCTGAGCACTGAAGACACATAAAAAGAGCAAGCTCCACCGAAGATCAGAGACGTTCCTTCTGCTCCTCCACAGGGGGACTCTCTCCACTTCCCCTGCCTGCACGGTCAAAGCTCTGCCTGAGCCATGGACCATGAGCCATTGTGAGAGGCCTCAACTCAAGCCAAGCTGCAGCTGCAAAGTTCTCCATGAACCGTGTGTGTGTGTGTGTGTGTGTGTGTGTGTGTGTGTCTGTGTGTTTTATCAGTGCGGATCCCCAGGTGGCCTGCCTAGGATTCTGGAACCCACCAGGACTCTGGTAAAGAAACCATGTGTGATTCGTGCATTGCATGTTTGTCTCCTGTGTAATTTATGCTCGGTGGATTATTAATTAAGTACCTTGGGTCGTACATGTCAGATTTCTGGCTGAGGCACCCTAGGTCATCTGTGCATACGTCCTTTATAGAGTTATTGGTACAGTGATACAACCAAGGTATGGGGTTTAATGTCTCAGGAGATTGGCAGGAGCTGGTTGACACATTTTTCACTGTCTCAGCCCTGATGGACTGCCGAGACATAGTTTATACTGTTTCTCTGGAGACATCTTTCATGACAACACGAGTTTTGGTGGCATTGTAGCCATCTCAGTAATGCACAACCGAATTTTTTCTTTCCTTCCTTTCCAGTTTTATTATTCCCCTCCCCCTATTTTCTCCTCTTGAGTCCTTAGGATTACACTCTCAACAATGTGTTGACATTTCAGTTTTGCCTCAAGCTCTGTTTTGTAGGGACCTTGAGCTAAGGCAATTCACATGCCCATTTGGAACCAATTACTGGGTGTAGGGTATTCAGATGCCCTTTCCTGTGGTGGTGAGGAGTGAAGTTCTGTGATGGAAATTCTCACTAGGATCAGGTATATGGGGGAGGAGTTCCCCACAGGATGAGAAGAAGGCTAGGAAGGGGTGCTGAGCTGATCCAAGTACACTTGCAGCAGTCCACTGCACCATCCTCTCTTCATGAAGTGACCAAGAACTCATCATAATAAAGGCTTTGAGGCCCTGTTGAAAAACCACCATAAAGGGCATATGACTGTTTGAAAGTCAGGGAATAATGGGAGAGTTGGGCCATCTCTGTGCTGGGCTAAAACAATGTTTTTAACCTATTTTTTTGGAGGGGAGGGGAGGGATAAGGATGGGCACTCTTTTAAATTCTTTAGAAAAGTATCAAAATACAAACACATGTGTGCGCACATGCATAATTATGGGTATACTTCCAGGAGATCCATGGATCCTTTGGAACCAACCCATTTATGGACTCTAAGGTGAGAAAGGGACCTATGTAGGTTATTTTAGAGAATTCCTGGCTTATAACTTTGTCTGGTATGTGGGGTGGCCCACCAAGCTATAGAACATAAAAGGAGGAAAAGGTGTGAAAAAAAATTTTGTGTGTGCGTGTGTGTGGTGTGTAGTATGCTTCTTGAGG